CTCAGCTCTATCTTGGTCTATGATACTTTCGCAATTTAAAGAAAGACTACCCTCAGTTGCGGGGATTCTGTATCTACCAATAAAGTGACGTAACTTCTATGTAGTGCCTTCTAAGTGGTCAGTCCACATCCTAAGAGTAAAGTCCAGGATGTGGAATTCTTTATCTTCCACATCAAGCCAGGAACTTGGCATTTACCCTAGAATCTGATTTTCCCCTCTTACATCCTACATACTATTTGCTGTCAAGCTCTACAAAATCATCCCCTAACTCTCTCCTGTAGGCAACGTTCCCTCTCCTCCGGCAGAATCTGCCCTGGCTCAGCGCCTCAGCATCTCCTCTGCATGGATTACCACCGGTACTCTTGACTGTTCACCCAGACTCTGTCTGCAACAGGGAGGGCTGGAAACCAGCAATATTTAGATTCCTCTCTCCTCCATCACCAGCAGAGTCTGCTTTGGCAGAGCAATTTTCAAATCCTGAAAAATGACCATCAAAGCTCTTCATAATCTCATCCTTATTTTCCCAGTTTTTCCCTGTCATGCACTGAGGTCTCTTTTGTCCAGGAATTCCAAATATTTGTTTTCCACATCCCACAATGTTTCTCCAACCTTCATCACTTTGAGTGTGGGATGTTTTTCTGCTATTCTACCTCACTCTTCCTCCAGGTTTAGCTTCCTGGAAACCTGAAGGGCTGAATTGGGGTCTTGTGGATTCCCGGGGCTTGCTTTTCAAACTTTATGTAGGGTAGTCAAGAGTACTCTTGTTTCTCATCTATTTTAGAGTTCCTTTACCACTCTGCCTTGTTTAATTGTCTCATATGTTGAACATTAAATGTCTGATCCATAGAGGTCACTGAATGTTTGAATGAATAAATGAAAAAAAATAAAGGAATGAATATTTATTCTAGCTCTGCCACTGAATTGATATGTGAGTTTCACATCAATATCCAGAAAGAACATTAATCCATGGGAGCTGTGGAGGTTGGGGCACATGCCTTGCATTTGTGGGTCCCGAGTTCAATCCCCAACACAATATAGTTCCTTGAGTATCACTGCATATAGCTCTGGAGGCTTCTGAGCACCCGAGATGATCCTTGTGGCCCTGACATTTCAAAGCAGGATGGAATCTTCTGACCCTAGAATTCAACCATCTGCCTAATCATCCATCTATGGCTGAGAACTACATCAAAGTGACCACCCCCCCCCCCCGGTCCTCGAAGCAATGTTTGAGATTCCCACTCCTCCAAGGACACATTAATCATAGAATTAATCACAACCTTATCTCAACATAGGTCCCTGTGTTTTCCATATATAAAATCAAAAGGAACTCCATAAATTCTCTCTCCCTCCTTTTTTTTTTTTGGTGTTCATGCCAGAAATTGAACATAGGGCCTCAGATGAGAAAAGTTGGTACTCTATTTCTCAGAGCTATATCTCTAACCCAGCATCTTATTTATGTAATATACATTCCCTGAGCTCACCCTAAAGCTTTGGGGGATATATAGCAAACACACATATCCATGCATACATGAAAAAATAATGATGGAACACATAAATTCACTTGAACACAGTGGGATCAAGTATTTCTCACTGCTATAATGCACTGTGTAGTTTTTGTGGGGGGATGGAAAAACATACAGGTAACAGAGTAGAACCTAGTGGCAATAAGGGAAATACAAGGACTAAGAGTTTGTGACTTCTAACCCCATGGGCTCATGGAGGGGTAGGGGGAGGGAGGGGCTGCTGCCTGTGAGGGGGCCCTGCTGAATGCAGAGGGGGGCACAGGAAGTTTTCCTCTCCAGGTGCTGAGCACATGCGTCCCATATTAAGTCCCACAAAGGCACACTGTCACCTCTGGTATGTTTTTTACTTGGCTGCCAACCTAAGAAGCCCATCAGGAGATCAGGAGAGTGAAGGGCAAAAGGTGTGAGGAAGAAGCAATGCAAAGGTGTGGGGAAGAGAGGTTTACAAAATCACAGAATCAACTTTTAAACAGTCCTGAAAACTTTATTTCTGCACCAAGTCAAAAAAAGAAAAATTGGTGACAAAAAAATTCAGGGTTCATTCACATCAGTGCAATTTTTGAAAAATGGGAAGAATTTTTTCCCTGACTGTACTTAAGCTGCTGCCGAGAATGAAATATATTATTAAAATTCAGCTAATTATAAATTAGTAAGATGAATTATATATAATGAACCAAATGAATTATAAATAAAGTCTCAGAATTATGAGTTCTTAGATTCCCTCTTTCTTTTGGGAGGGGGGTGCTACAGCCCTGCACTCAGGTCCCTTCTGTCTAGGCATTTCAAATACCATTTGCTTGTCACCCCTCCCACCCATGTTCCCTCCTATTTCTATCACCGCTGTGGGGCTGCCATCCTTCTGCCTGTCAACTTCACTCCCCCCCCCCCAATTTTTATAGCCATATCCATTTGTTTGCAGTTGGTATTCAAAGACTCAATTAGGTCACACATCACGCATATCACATTTCCAAAAAGCTAAAATTAAGTATAAATTTGTATGTGCTTTAGACTATGACTGTAATATTTAGCAATATGCCACAGTGTGGGATGCTGTGTCATAACGATAAATCAAGAAAAGTTCACCTTGGGTTGCTCAAATCTAAACTGCAAGGGCAAGAGGAATCAAATTGCCTTGTTTATAGATGAAGTTTTTGCCACCAAGAGGTTCTATTTTGCCATTTGATGAGTACTCATTATTCAACTATTCCCATAATGATCCAATAAATACTTAAAAAGCAGCTTTTCCAAATGACATAAGGTCTACAATTTGGAGCAAAGTAGCCCACAAGCCTCAGAGTGGGACCTCAGAGAAGCAAACGCAAATTTGAAACAATTCACTTTTTTTTTTTTAAAGAGTAAGTGCTGTATTGTTCTGTACCATTAAGAGAAAGGCAGTAGGTCTTCAAAGCACTTTAATCTTCAAGTAGTCTGAAATCATTTGACTTCACACTTGGAAAGTAGTCATCTGACAAGTAATCAATTGAAAAGTAGTCTGTGAAATCATTTGCAGTAGTAAATTTTAACATGTGCATCTTTAACACGGAATAAGCCTATTATTCCATGTTCTGAATTATTAAGTACAACAGCAATGAAAGTGTATCCATGAGCCATTTTTCTGGGTCTACTATTTTGAGTGTCCTGAGAACAAAACATTTAAATCTGCTTGCACATTGACAATAGCGATATTGATATTTCCCCATGTTCCCTCTGGTTGCTAAGAGATTTACGTTGGGCAGACTCTGTTGTACTCATAACAATGCATTTTGGTCCACAAAGCATTTGCTTCTCTTCAGTGAGTTCAGAAACTGCCCTGGCCTCACCCCTTCCCTATACTGCTTCCAAGTCAAACAGGGGCTGGCCTGGCACAAAGGCAGTGGGCCTGCCATGTGTACCAGAGGAAACGGCTATGCATCAACCAGGGTAAGCGAATAATCTTTTCCATAGCATCAACAGCAATGACGACACTCTACCTTCATCCAGACAAATGCCCCTAGGCTCACGTTTCTTAGAAGCCAGTCTGGCAGAGTAGGGGTGGGCAGAGCTGTAGAGAGAGGGCAATCAATAGTGACCCATCCACAAACCTAATCCAATACAATCACCCCAGAGTCTCACAAAATAAAGCGACTTCCCAACAAGTCTGCACTGAAACAATATGCCTGCAGAGAAGTCAAGTTTGTACTTTGCCACACACAAATTCATGAAGTTCATTTACAAGAATAATGAAGTGGGAACTATCTATATTTAACATCTTGCAGCAAAACAACCGCAGCCTTCTCCGTTCGGTCTCATCAAGCCTGCCAGGCAACAAAAGGCAGCGACTGCTTCTAGAGATCCTAAGTCTGAAGAAAACGGCCAAGGAATCCCCAGATTGATATGATCTGTCTGGAAGAGAGGGACACATGGTGAACAAAATCTGCATGTCATTTGAGAAGCACATGCATCACTGCTCAGGGCAAATGAAGACCGCCTTTCCCTGGGGAATTCTCACAAAGAGACATAAAAATGCTTTATGACCTGACTCCTGCATTCATGTCACAGGGTCTTAGTCCATTTTTTATTAAAACTGCTACGGAAGAGAAGTGTTTGGGGGCTTCACTGCACAACGGGCATCAGGAGTCATATTTAAGGGCATAGCCACCAAACAGTAAGTCTGCTCAGTCTGTAATCAAACACCACTGACCTAGAATGTTACTCTGGCTTCCTCCCTGCATCAGAATATTGGTAGGGGAGGAGAGTGCCCAGACTTTGATCTGAAGCATCAGGGTAGAAGGTTGCAGGTCCCTGCTAGATCATGAGAATTTCTGAATTTGAGATCTGTCACCTGGCCGAAAAAACAAGTACAGTGAAAAATAAGCCCCTGTGATTTTACCTTCACCGAACAAAAAGAAAGTTATTTCTAGGGGTTCATTTCTCTTGCACAAACCAGAGAAAGGCACCTTATAGGAATAAAGGCAAAAGGATGGGGAAAGGGGGGGTGGAGCAAAGCAGGAAATGACTTCTCTGCTGTCTTTGAGGTCACAGATCTGCTGAGAAATGCACACATGTGACACAGTTCTAGCACAAAAGCTCGCTTTCCACGAGACAGATCTCTAAGAAGTACAAAGGCTGGCTCTCTGGCTTCTCTGTCCACTGTTACCGCAGTCCATTTAACCTTGACTGGGAGGGGAAGCAACTACTTTGAACTCCCTTGCAACACCTTTCTGTGCCAAGAAAGCATGTCCCTGCCTCTGTGGGGAGAAAGCACACCTTCCGCATCGGAACCGCAATCACCCCCCACACAGAAGAAAATCTTCCTTTGCCCTGCCTGTCCTATGGCTGAGATTTACTGTAGGCTTTTACTGGCTGCTCCCAATTTACACACCCAATTTACATTCACCCAGCATGCAGCAATGGCCTCTAATGCTTTTGACAGATGCCAGGAGGCGATTAAAACAAAAAGAACCCAGGCAAGCTTTCTGCTCGGGCAGACATAGCTACCTTTTTCTTCCGATCCCGGGACCGTTTGCGGTGCTTCCTTTTCTTCTCAGCCTCGTCTTCAACATTGACTTCTAAATCCCTGTTTTTCTTTAATTGTGAGGCCGCATGAGCCATAATGCATTGAAAAAGATCCTCTCAAGTACAAGGTGATATCCTCAGGCACCTTGGATCAGACTTGCAGCAGCATTCCAATCACTGGAGAGAACCTTTGACTAGAAGCAGGAAGTCGCTCAAAATGCAAAGATGCTGTAGAAGCTGAAGCATTTAAAAACCCAAGCGGAGGTTTCCAGACTTCATCCTACACTTCCCTCCACCTGAACCTCTCCAGGCGAGTGCAGCCATCGTAATGCATTTACCGTAGTGAAAAAAGACAGCTGGGACAGAGGAAGCCGTATTATGCTGTATCCCCTGCCACCAGCTGGAAGTGTCTAAGTGATTCCTCCGAAGGGGGAATACTGCAAAGGATGCTTCTCCGAAGGGGGGGAAATCGAGAGTCGCCACACATACAGGAGCAAAAATCCAGCAGCAATTCTGAAAACCTATTTTAGAATCCTTCGAAAAAAAGACAGGGCTGCAATTTATACATCACCACTAGATCTGCACAGAGCATAATTTAACCCGTACAAGAATGGAGCAGTTCCGACTTTAGTTTAACTGCTGATGGTGACAAAATATATCAAACAAGATTTCACAAAATGCATTAGATTTTCCTAGCGAGGTCCTGACTGCATTGTGGGGGGAACAATGCATGCATTGCTCCTCGCAACACTGTGTCCTTTATGCTGAACTCTCAGCCTCCATGCATTTGTGGGAGCAAACCACAGAAGAGCCTGTTGTCTTTTACAAACAACATGCTGATTACAACACATCATACAGAAAGGCGTGAGCATGCTGGTGTATAGAACAGATGCCTGATTCATTGGCCTTCCCCAGGACCCTCCTCTCCTGTGGTCTGAGGGTCAGAGAGCGAGGAAGCAGCACTGTAATCAGGATTTCTGAGTCCCTGAAATGCAGATTGGGCTTTCCTGTGAGGGGCGGCTTCAATCACCTACGAGTTTGGCCACCTGAGGCCCCAATGACTGCAGCCTCTGAATATTCATGACACAAAATGAGGCAGCAGTAGGGCTGAGGGCCTACTGGGGCCTCTTTTGCTAGGATGCACACACTGAAAGAAATTTAATAAGTCAGGAATCATTTATAAGCACACATGGGTTCTCACAGTTTTAGCGAGAAAGGCTGAAACGCTAGCCTGGGTCTAAAACAATAGGGGGCGGGGGAAATCCCAAGAAAATGAGTTAGAAAAAATTCTGCTCTGTTGAAAAGACTTAGTACACACACTTCCTCTACTGAAAGTCCCCTAACTTCTGAGAGCAGCCTGTTTGACTTTACAATACCAATGGCTAAAGGTGCTTGAAGGTCAAAGCCAAAGTACAGTGGCATCATGGGAGGATTTGGTTGAGGTTTTCTGAAGTGCCTGTTCACCTGCCTCATGACATATTCATGTCACAGCTTCTTCGACACAAAACTTCCACTTGTCCTATTTCTGAGTTCAAGTTCAGAGACCTTCCTCTCTCAGGCCCCTGCCAGACACTGATAAACAAGGGAAGGAAAATGACTTGAACCCAGGAATTCCACACCTACTGCCTGCGCCCACTGCTTCAAGGTCTCAACTATGAATCAGACAAGAACTGTTCTGGTCAAACATTTCCAAAGTACCAACCTGCAAAGAGGCTCGTGGGCTTAGTGTCCCGCTGAAAGTCTCTTAATGAACAAGTTCAGGAGAGGAGGCTGTCCATTGCTTAGATTACCATCATCCCAGAGGTGGGAACGGAAGGTGGGGGAGTCAACATAACCCAGTACCCAAAGGGAGCGGCCACTTTGGGATCTTTAGGTGAAAATAAATCTTTGACTAGTAGGCCTGTTACATTTGTAATAGAACGTGCATGGAAGAAAAGCACCCAAATAAGATGCTCATTTCCTTTTCCCCTATATACATTGCCTTGTACTTTGAGGAACATTTGTATGGTTCCCTTTTATTTTCAGCAAGTTGAAGAGGACAGCCAATGAAATTACTGGCAAATTTCCCACTGGTTCCTGGACCTTTTTTTAATCCTTTATAGACACCAGTGTTACTTTACAATTACTTTACATTTATAATTATCCTTGATCAAGTTAACTTCATTTTGGGCTGTCAAAGCACTAGACTTTCATCTTGATCTCTCAGTAAAAACATAGTTTGTCGTGAGGAAAAGAAGTCACAAAACTTTGTCAATATTTTCCTTTAGCATAGTTTTTTGATTCTTCAAACTTTCCAGAAGAGTTCTTCCCACCATATATGCCATCACATTGCGTTACCCTGAATTTTGCTTTACCTCAATGTGTTATTTATTTATTTATTTTTATTAGTGAAACACCACGAGGTACAGTTATAGACTTATAAATTTTTGTGCTTGGGTTTCAGTTATACAATGATCAAGTACCCATCCCTCCACCAGTGCCCATCCTCCCCCACCACGGGTCCCAGCAACCCTCCCCCCCCATACCCCCCCCGCCCCCATCCCATCTGCCTCTGTGGCAGGGCATTCCCCCTTGTTCCCTCTCTCTTCTTTTGGGTCCTGTGTTTTGCAAGAGAGGCATTGAGTGGCGATCATGTTTGGTCTATAGACTACTTTCAGCATGCTTCTCCCACCCTGGGAGGATCCTCACAACACCCTTTATTTGGTGCTCTCTTCTCTATCTGTACCTCAATATTTTAAATCAGCACTTTTCAGTGATTTTATACATACAGACCGGGAACTGCCCTGCATATGGGCTGGCAGTTCTAACCAAGGTGGTTTGTCAATGGTCTTCAACCTTTCTATACCTGCCAACTGGAGGCTGAAAAATTCTGTCTTAATTAAAAAAAATTAATTCCTTGACATAGTTGATGCACAGCTGCCGTGAAAGCAGTCCCCAGGGTAAAGATTTTTATTATCATGTTACTTTTTATTATTATATTTTATTTATTATGACATTATTCAGGTCTTGGTTCCTTTCTACCTGGCTTACCGCCTGAGTCTAAGGTTCCTTTTTCACTTATTCCCAACGCAGAGGTGCATATCCTACGGCGCCACATATCTCCGATTTTTTTCCTTGCCAAATAGAAATGCTGCCGCTTTAACTCTGGAAGGATTTTACAATAGCTAAAAAGATAAAAGTTTAAAAAAACACTTTGGGGTTTTGTTTTGTTTTGTTTTAGACCACATCTGGTGGCACCCAGGGCTTACTCTTGGCTCAGCACTCAGACATCACTTCCTGATGGTGCCAAGAATTAAATCCAGATCAGTTGGAAGGCAAGCGCCCTACCTACTATACTATCCTCTGGTCTAAAACTTTGTTATTTCATGGAAATTATATAAAACTTATCCACTTAGGTCTCAGATATTTGTTCTTTTCTGGGAGAACACAATTAGTATGAATTTTCATAGTAATGAATGGGGCAGATGGTACAAGTATGCACCTCTGCGCAGAGTGGCTGTTCTGACAGCAAGAAGAAAACGATGCAGAAATAGCATGACAGCAAGCACCTCATAAGATAAGTGCAAGCTGGAGCCGAGTGGCGCCACTCCCGTAAGGGTAACTTCTCCAGTTCTAATCCCAGACATTAGCCCCAAGCGGGTAATGGGCACAATTTACACAGATCGTGCCATTCTACTAATAGTTTGTGGAAGATACTCTATGTCAGAAAATAAAAATTCCTGGGGACTAGACAGCTAGTACAGCAGGTAAGGCGCTTGCATTGCATTCAGCCAACCTGGTTTTGCTATCCAGAACCCCAGATAGTCCCCTGAGCTCTGTCAGAAGTAATCCCTGAGTGCAAAGTCAGGAGTAAACCTTGATAACGCTGGGTGTGACCCAAAACACACACACAGAGAGAGAGAGAGAGAGAGAGAGAGAGAGAGAGAGAGAGAGAGAGAGAGAGAGAGAGAGAGAGAGAGAAATCAATTCTTAGGATACTTCAAGAAAAAAGAAAATACATCTGTTTTTCTAACAGTCACCAGTACAACAATGCCTTAAATTATTCTTCCAAAAGAAACTAAAACAAACAAACAAACAAACAAATAAACCAACCTATCACCTTTCAGGGTCAGGAAACGGAAACTGAGAACATTGGCTTTGCCTATGTGAGGCTCTAATTTGATACCCAGCACCCTCAAAATGTTTTCTCAACTTTCATTCTTCAAAGAAACATTTCTACCACTAACTTTTACCAAAGACATAATAAAGAGAATTCTGCAGTTGCTTGACTGAGTAAAAATAAATCAAAAAATGGTGACTAAACATCTTGATAACCTAATCAATTTATTGAGACATTTCTCAGGCTTAAGTACCTCAAGTTCCCATTTGTCAGCTTTCCTATCTTTCCTTCAGAAGATAACTTGGATGAGTACAACTTGAAAACTATCACAGTGCACCCAGCAGGGATGGGCCTTTCCTTGTCCTGTTCTTTCCTTGCTTTCAACTTTGACACCAGAAGTTATGTCAAAAAGTGATGCCGATTAAGTGTGTTTAGTAAAGTTTGAATTTGTCCTCCTGCCAAAATAGTCCCAAATTTTTTAGCAGAAGTGACAAGTTGCATCAGTCTATATTATTATACAAAGGAATAACAATCACCTTCCAATTTGCCATCTGAAATAATAGCTATACCCAAAATAATTAATGTTGTGAGTCAAAACAATGGTCGATAAACATCTTGATAATGAAACCAAACAATTCATTGAGAGGTTTTTTATATTTTGGTACCATGGCCCAGGAATTTGTTCTATAGTTCTGCAAATAGTTTGCCAGAATTTCAAGACACGCTCTAGGCTATGACTTCAGTCAGTTAATAGCAAGACCATTCGCGGGTGTCTTTTAAATATTGTGTCCTTATACTGTTGAGCTGAGTGAACGGTGACAATACACTGGATTTCTATGAAAATCAAAGTGCCACTTGGTAATATGTAGTTACAATAGCTAATCACCCTGAAAAATGACTGCATAGTGACGTAAGAAAGGAAGAGGGGCAAGTATAAAGAAGAACAGAGGATGGAAGGTACAAAAGAAAGGATTCCTTCTGCCGGGAACTCTGCACCTTCCTATGCACACACACTTTCCCAGCCTCTTGGTAATGAGGAGAGCATGTCTTCATGAAACTGGAACTATTTTGTGCTGCACCCACTAGTCTTTTCAGAAACAGAAAGCCTCCCCGTATGCAAAAAGTAGACTATAGACTAAACATGATCGTCACCCATTGCCTCTTTTGCAAACCACAACACCCAATAAGAGAGAGAGAACAAAAGGGAATGCCCTGCCACAGAGGCAGGGTGGGATGGGGGGATGGGGGGTGGGAGGGATACTGGGATCCATGGTGGTGGGAAATGGGCACCGGTGGAGGGATGGGTATTTGATCATTGTATAATTGAAACCCAAGCACAAAAATGTGTAAGTCTGCAACTGTACCTCATGAGGTCTCAGTATTAAAAATTTTTTAATAAAAAAAAGAAAGAAAAAAAAGAGAATAGTTTTCTTCTACAAACAACATTGGATCCAACATCATTTCATTACTTCTAGCATTCGAGACAAAGATGGTATCGAGAGAAATGGAACAGGTCTGAACATGGGGAGCAAGCAAGG